TGCGCTCTCTGTTTCTCCCTCTCTCTCAAAAATAAACTTTTAAAAAAAGACATAAATGTAATTGAGGAAAATATATGTTACAACAATAAAATATCCCTACACATTTATGAAAATGGCCAAAATTTAGAACACGAATACCAAATACTAGTGAGAATGTGGACCAATAAGAACTCTCCTTCATTACTGGTGGGAATGTTGTATCCCACTCTGGTAGACAAGTTGCATTTTCTTACAAAACTAAACATACTCTTAAATATGATTTAGCAGTCTCAATCATTGGTATTTACACAAATAAGTTGAAAATTTATATCTATACAAAAACCTACACATGAAATAGGAAATCCTAAAATTTGTATGGAACCACAAATGACCCCAAATGCCCAAAGCATCTTGAGAAAGATGAACAAAGATGGAGGCATCACACTTCCTGATTTCAAACTCCTTGACTACAAATCTGTGGTAATTAAAACAGTATGGTATTAGCATAAATCTAATAGACACACAGATCAACAGAACAGAATAGAGCCCAGAAATAAACCCACACACGGTCAATTAATTTACAACAAAGGAGACATGACTATACAATGGGGAAAGCACAATGTCTTTAATGGATGGTTTGGGAAAACTGGACTCCAACAGGCGAAAGAATGAAACTGGACCACTGTCTGAAACCATACACAAAAATTAACACAGAATGGATTACAGACTTAAACCTAAGACGTGAAACCATAACATTCCTATAAGATACAGGGTAATGAGCTCCTTGATTCAGGTCTGGGCAATGTTTGTTTGTTTGTTTGTTTGTTTTTGTTTTTTTTTTTTACTTCGACACCAAAAGAAAAATCAACAAAAGCAAAGGTAAGTGGGACTACATCAAACTAAAAAGTGTCTGCATGGCAAAGGAAACACTTTTTTTAACAACATGAAAAGGCATCCTACTGGACAGGAGAAAGTATTAGCAAAATATGTATCTGATAAGGGGCTAATAATCCAAAACATGGCAAAAAGAAGCTCAAATAATCCAATTTAAGAAATAGGCAGAAGATATGAATAGACATTTTCCAAAGATCTAGAGATGGCAAAAGGACCATGAAAAGATGGCCAACATCATTCATCATCAGGGAAATGCAAATCAAAATCACAATGAGGTATCACTTCACACCTATTAGAATGGCAGTTATCAAAGTATGATTTCTCTTATATGTGGAATCTTAAAAAAACAAAATAACCCCTCTTAGATACAGAGAATATATGTGTGGTTGCTAGAGGCAGGTAGTTGAGGGGACGGTGGCAGAAATGGGTGAAGGTAATCAAAATATTAAAAAAAAAAAAAAAAAAAGATGCCTGCCTGGCTCAGTCCACAGAGCATGCAACCCTCGAACTTGGGGTTCTGAGTTCAAGCCCCATGTTAGGTATAGAGATTACTTAAAAACAAAACAAAAATTGCTGCCAACTCTTGAGTTCTTAAAACCAAAAAATAAAAACAAAACAACCAAAAAAATATCAATATAGTGCTTTCCACATACCAAGAATACAACAAACATCTGTGGAATGATACGTTTTTCCTACAGAAAAGCTAACTAGAGATATCAGTAAGTTGTGCTCTATTTAACCTACATCTAGTTTTGATTTTCGCTTTTTAGAACTATCTACATCATGCCTTCCTCCTAATTACTGCACAAGCGCCCAACCTCAAGAAGCCAGGATAGCCCAGGAAAGAAAGAGGCCTTAGCTCTACTCTAATAGACAGTTATTACCTTTTGTTTGTCTCCTGAAAAGTTCTGTCAAGGATACAAAATGGAAATGGAAAGTGAATAGTTCCAGGGGTTTGTACTACAGAGACCTCAGCTCTGACCTGTATGTTATGAGAACCATGAGAGATGAAGGGAAAGACTCTCTTAGAGACAGCCATCTCAGTCCCTCTCAAATCACAGCACCAGTATGGTCAGAGGGCCCAAATAACAGTGTTGTAGGTCCTAACAGTGGGAGTTTAAACTTCTACGTAATTTGATTTACTCATATGAATAACAGAATGAGAAGTGTGTGGGATTTCCTTTGAAAGCTCCTAAGAAATAAACTTTTATTTTCCCACAGATCCTTCCCAAACAATACTTAATGGACCTGCTTACTCTGTGCCCATTTCAGTTTTGACTTATGCTCACATCCCAACACATTCCCACCTGTCTGGATGTTCTCCTATATTCACTTCACTTTCCACAGTCCAGGGATCTTTCCCCTGGAAAGAGATGATAGAGATGATATTCAGTTCAAGAAAAGATTTCTATTTATGAAGAAAAACAAAACATGTTCTGCTCTTCCAGAACACATTCCCAGCTCATTTTTCAGCAAAGAAGAAAGGACATTCAGTATATGTGGGTGTAGAAACATACTTCAAAAATTAGTCAACTGAATGCCTGAATGCTTAAGGATTATTTTAGGTATGCAGAGATCTGGTTCTTTCCAAGAAATACTGAACCAAAAGCACAAGGGTAAGACCACAGAATCAGATATTTTAAAAAATTCACCATAAAGTTTCCTTTTTTCCCAACTTTAAGTAACTTTATTGTCTCTGAGCCTTATCTTTAATGATGTCAGTGAAACTGGACTTTACTAAGACTTTAAGGATTTTTATATCCTATTCCCCAGACTCCCAGATTATTTAAATTCTAGTTAGTTAACATACAGTGTAGTATGGGTTTCAGTAGAATTTAGGGATTCATCACTTACAAATAACACCCAGTGCTCGTCCTCACCAGTCCCCTCCTTTAAGCTTTTCTGACTACTAATGTTCTGCAACCACCTAAACAAGCAGGAATGCAGAACTTCTGAAGGAAAGGGAAGTTAGAGTCCATTTGCCACATTATGATGCCTTTCCATTCTCAATTAAAACAGCTGCAATCATTCCCTTAGAAACAGGGATTTGAAACTCCTATGATCAAGTGAAAAGAAAATGCAGACATAAAAAGTAATTACCGACTTCGGGAGGGAAGTTATCCTCACCCAGGGAGACCAGGTTCCTGTAGTTCTCCAGCATCACATCCCTGTACAAGGCCCTCTGAGCAGGGTCCAGGCACTCCCACTCCTCCTGAGAGAATTCTATGGCCACATCCCTGAATGTCAACCGCCCCTGAAAGGAAAACACATTTCAGCAAGTGGACAGGGAAAGTGTTCTTATTTGACACAAAACAAGAGAAGCACAGCTGTGTAAAGACTGACTTGGCTGGAGTGAGTGCTCTTTGATCCGTGTAATATAATTTTGAGCAAGTTACACTTAACATAAAAACAAGCCATTTTAAAGTACCATTTGGGGGCATTTAGTGCATTCACAATATTGCACAAACATCACCTCTGTCTAGATCCAAAACATTTTTATCATCCCCAGAGAAAATACTTATTAAATACTATTAAAGTGGGTGCTTCCTTTCAGGCTCTGGACTGATGGCTCAGAGCCTGGAGCCTGTTTCCGATTCTGTGTCTCCCTCTCTCTCTGCTCCTCCCCCGTTCATGCTCTGTCTCTCTCTGTCCCAAAAATAAATAAACGTTGAAAAAAAAAAAATTTTAAAGCGGGTGCTTCCTATTGCCCAGTCCCTGGCAACCACTAATGCTTTGTCTCTATGGATTTACCAATTTTGGATCTTTTCATGTAAGAAGGGATCAAAAATGTGACCTTTTGCATCTGCCTTCTTTCATGTAGAATGTTTGGGGTTTATCCATGATACAGTATGTATCAGTGGTACATTTCCTTTCTTCTGGAAAGGACTAGACTATAGACCTGTCATTGCAGGACTAGTGTATTGCAGACTGTAGGACTAGACATTGCAGGACTAGACTATATTCATTCAACTACTGATGGGCATTTGATTGTTATCAACTTTGGTTAATATTAGTAATTTGCTACGAACTTTCGAGTACAAGTGTTTGGATATCTGTTTTCAATTCTTTTGTTATATACCTAGGAGTGGAATTACTGGGGCACATGGTTTAATTTTTTTAAGAATCTGCCATGTGCTTTTGCACAGCAGCTACACTTTAACAGCAATGTGTCATGATTCTAATTTCTTCACCTCTTTACCAACACTTTTTTTGCTGTTGTTCTTTTACAGTAGTCATTCTAGTGGGTGTGAAATGATCACTTGTGGTTTTGAGTTTGCAATTTACTAATGACTACTGTCACTGAATATCTCTTCATGTGCTTGTTTCATTTGTGTATCTTCTATGGAGAAATATCTATTAAAATCCTTTGACCATTTTTTAAGTTGGGTTCTGTGTATTTTGGTTGTTGAGTTGTAGAAGTTCTTCATATATTCTAGGTTCTAGACCCTTCGTAGATATGGACTGGCAAATTATTTCCTCCCATTTAGTAGATTGTTTCACTTGTGTGAGAATGTCCTTCATTGCACAGACATGATTAATTCTGATGATGACCAATTTATCTACTTTGTCTTTTTCTCTTTCGATTTGGGATCATGTATAAAAATCCACTGCCAACCCTCAGGTCATGAAGATTTACCCCTATGTTTTCACCTAAGACTTTTATAGTTTTAGCTCTAACATTCAGTCTTTGATTAATTCTGAATTGATTACCTTATATGGTACAAGGTAGTTTCAATTCCATTCTCCCATAGACTCTAGTTGTGCCAGTACCATTTAAGAGAGTATTGTTTTACCGCTGTTTTTGGCACACTTGTAAAAAAGGAATGAATTATACATGCATGGTTTTATATGTGGAGGCTCAGTTCTAGTACTTTGATCTATATATCTAGCCTCTGCTGGAATTATAGTTTTGATTACTCAAAATTTGTAGTAAGTTTTTATGTCAGGAATTCTAGGTCCTCCAATTTTGTTCTTTCTCACATTTATTTTGGTTATCTGGTGTCCTTACCAATTCAATATGAGTTTTAGAATCAGGATTCCCATTTGGGCAAAGATACTGGGATTTTGCTGAGGACTGCATTACTCTTTATATCGCTCTGGAAAGGATTCCCATTTTACAGTCTTGCAATCCACAAACACAGGACATTTTCACATTTATTTAGGTTTTCTTTAATTTTCCACAGCAGCTTTCTGGTTTTCACTGTGTATAAATCTTCCTATTCCTTCGTTAAATTTATTCCCATTTGTTTTCTTGCTCTTATAAATTGTTTACTTACTTTCCATTTGTTGACTGCTACTGTACAGAAAAGCAACCTGAATTTTGAGTGTTAATATTGTATGCTGTAACTTCAATGAATTCATTCTAAGTCTGAGCTTTCTTTACTTCTAAATAGGAGATCATGTATACTATGAATAGAGATAGTTTGATTTCTTTTCCCAGTTTGACACATTTTATTTATTTTTCCTCTGTGTTTTCTCTGTCTAGAACTTCCAGTACAGTGTTGATATGTGGTGTCAAAATGGGTCACACTTGTTTTGTTCTTGGTATTAGGAGGACGTTTTCAGTTGTTTACCATTGATGTTAGCCATGGAATTTTAATAATACCCTTTTTCAAACAGCAAGTTCCCATCTACTCCTAATTTTTGAGTGTTTGTTGGATAAAGTGTCCTGTATATGTCTGCTGAATCTAGCTGGTTTACAGCGTTGCTCACTTCTTTATTATTGATATCTGGTTGTTCTACCCATTATTAAAAAGGGAGTATGAGGTCTCCAACTAGTAGAGAACTGTCTCCTCAATTTTTGCTTCAAAAAATTGGGGGCTTTGTTGTTATGTATTTATTATTTATACTTGGTTTATCTTCCTGATGAATTGGCCCTTTTTTCAATATATAATGCCATTCAACATCTTTGATAATAATTTTACTTAAAGTCTATTTTGTCTGATATTTGTATACCTACCCAGATAAGTGTCATTATTATCTGCGTGGAATATCTTTTTCCATCCTTCCACTTTCAACATATTTGTGTATCTAAAGTGAGCCTTGGGGCACCTGGGTAGGTCAGTCAGTTAAGCGCCTGACTGGATTTCAGCTCAGGTCATGATTTCACATTTCGTATGTTCGAGCCCCGCACGGGCTCCGTACTATCAGTGTGAAGCCTGCTTGAGATTCTCTCCCTCTCCCTCTCTCTTTCTGCCCCTCCCCCATGCACACTCTCTCAAAATAAATAAAAACTTTAAGAAAATAAAGTAAGCCTTCTGGAGAGAGTGGAATCATTTTTAAACATTAATTCCTTTGTCTTTTATTGGAGAGTTTAATTTATGTACATTTCAAGTTACTACTGGTAAGAATTACTTTTGACATCTGCTGTATGTCTGATATTTTGTTTCATAATTCCTCCCTTCTTTGGGTGTCTGTGCCTCTGTGTACATGCCATTTTGATTGCCTCTGTATTTATTTTTCCATTTTCAAGTTATTTTCTGAGTGGTTATCCTGGGGATTGCAGTTTACACATTAAACTAATAATATTTGAATTTCAGTTGATACTAAGTTAGCTTTAATAGCATACAAACAACTGTTGTTATACAGTCACCCTTTATGTTCTTATTGTCAAAAGTTATTCCTTTGTAAAAGATATGAACAGATGTTTTATACACTGAAGAACAGATTTTTATTATTGTTTTACACATTTGTCTTTTAAGACACATAGGAAAAACTAAG